TGAAAAAGCTGGTAGGTTGACCGGGCCCCCAGTAGTCAGTATAGTCAGTAGTCTATTCGGTTCATGTTCGGTGGGAAAAAACCAGGGTGTCCCGATTTTGACCCACTGCCAATTGATGTTGATCTCTCGGGTGTCCTTTCAACTTTCAGCATTGTCGGTTTCAATTTTTGGGGGTCAATTCCAAGGCCTGTCGGCTGAGCTCATGTCAGCCTGGTCTGGGTGTGAACAGCTTCGAACCGCATCGACCCGTGAATGCGACGGGGGGGTGTCCCGATGGGGGCCAAGCCTCTCGGCTTCGGCGCAGGGTCAGATGATCCTGTGACCGTTTGGGGGTCTTTGTGGCAACGTGGGTGTAAAGCAAACAGGTTTCAGCCCTGGGTGATCTGGTTGGAAGAACTTCTTGGGGGGATCGAAATGTTCATCGAAGCCATCCAACTAAAGGTGTAAGCAAAGAACACACAAAGCTTATGAGCTTCTCCCATGTCCTGAAAAGCATACCACAAAATTAGTTGATCCCTTTTGAACATGTCGGACTATCTCAACTGCATACCGCCATCTGTACACTGTAGACTGTCGACTCTGAAGTTATTGGTGGAGACGTTCCGTTCGAAACTGGTTTCGGCCCCATCAGGGCTTTGTTGGCCCCGTGCGCTTGGCCTTGGATCGCTTGGGCTGGCTGCAGTTCTTCAGCCAGGCCGGGGCCTCATGTGGCGTGGGGCCTGATGGGGCGTGGAACCGGGCACGGAAAGATGTAGTGAGGGGAAGCATGGAGGATCATGGACCTTCAGAATGTGGTCAAACTGATCTTGCGGCATCCTGGCATGAGCATTGAGGGCGTTGTTGAGATTGAATCCTACAACTGACAGGGTCCGAGGGTGCATCCCCTGTAAAGTACCAGTATGTGTTTTGGAGTTTCCCATGGTTCTCATGTGTGGTGCGAAAAAAGAAATGGTGCAGCTGAATCATTTCTTCAGAATTCGCTTCAAAAAAGGTTACAAACTCACCAATTTCTGCATGATTTTTCGTGAGAGCAGGCTGCTCTCAACAAGCGACACCGGACTCGTCGACGCTTGGGACGCTTCCGGCGCTGCTCTCAGATCTACGGGCACATCGGCGACACCTACGGAGCGACGCCGTTCGACAAGCAGGCGAGAACCGGCACCAGGTCGGGCTGCGCTTGACACGCACGAACTTACTGTAACTTGGTGGAAAAGAATACATGGCATGTATATTATATATTCTATGTGACATAGAGAGAGAGAGGCTACAGATGGATGGGGATGGCTCAAAAGCTTCTCGAAGGCTCTCATGGGGGAAACCAGGGAAATCCACATGTCGAGTCTGCTGTTGGAACTGACCTGTCCTTTCTTTTGTCGTGTTTTGACATATGTGTGTCCATCTTTGCAAAGCCGAAGGATTTCGGGGTGTTTCTTCTCACAGATGGTTCCTTGCCACATGGACAGGAAAGATGAAAACACTCCATTCAGGGAGTGGGATATGCAGTAAAGTTGTGAGATGGCCTGGCAGAATCACCCAAGCGGAAAGTAAATGTTTCTGATCTGCCGTTGGACCACGGGGATTATGCCAAAAGGCAGTGGATCGATTCTTGTTCATCCAAGGTGCCAAGGTTTTGGTGGGATCGAACTACGTCCGTTCGAACAGTTTCCTTTCGTCCCCTTCCTAAGCTTGCTTCGATGTTCACCTCTTCAGAACCAAACCGAAAAGGGGCTTCCTAAACCAAACCGAACGTTCTTTGAATGTAGTCAGAGTCCGCGTCACCTTGTTTTTGGGCACCTCGGCCAACGTCACTGGCACCTCACGGCCGCGGAAGACCACGGCCAACCACCATGTGTTCAGGTCGCGGAAGAGCGCAGTTGTCCCGCGGACCTGCAGTCCATGCTCGGGGAGAGATGGCAGGCGCAGCGACGGTACGGCGCTTTGAAGACCTGCCAGGGGTCGATCTGAGAGGTGTGCCAGGTGTGCTGAAGCCACCCATGATCTCAAGCGGGAAGTTGTTCATGAAAGCCCCCCAGAATGAGAGCCTGCCAGAGCTTGGAGATTCAGAGGCCCTGATGCTGTACATAGTTGTTTTGGGCTCCAACCCTATGTCGCAGAGTCGCATCCTGTGCTGGACCCAAGAAACCGGTATGAAGAAAAAAGGGACTCCAATACTCGTGCTATATGAGGTACAAAGAGCAGGGGGGGATCCAGGGAGTTGGCAGTTTGGCATGGGCATTTGTTTCAACGAGAACATAGCCTTGCCATGGACCGGAGAGGGTTGGACGAATCCTGAGCATGTGATGAACTCGTTGGGACATGTACAGTATAGAGGTTTGCGATGGTTTGCGAGTCAATATGGTGAATTTGAAGTGTTTGACAAGGGCAGATGTTGCAAAACAATACAGAATGAAACAATGATATGCATGAATGTAGTAGGAGTGGCCGACATTTAGGACCATACCTCGAGTACTTGCATGTACCAACCAAAGACGTGCTTGGAATATGAAAGTAAGGAGCAGGTTGGCATTCTTGTTTTAAGGATGTTTAAGGTGCCAAGAATCAAGTTCACCCTAAATATCCAGCTATGATCCTTTCGAAAGCTCCACACAGCTGTCGCATCGCGCCAACCGTGGTCGCATCGCTCCGCACACGTCAGGCTCAGTGGACCTCGAAGGATGCCTTGGCGCAGAATCTCATGCGGCAGAAAGGCGCCGTACCAACGGAGCGGCGGACTTGTTGGCCGCAAGGTGAGTTTGGGGCAATAAAACTTGCAATCGTACTATTTATATAGGGGTAGATTAGGTTTTCTGTTTGCAGCCATGGTAGCCTGGTGTCGATGTCCCGCACAGGAATGGAAGGCACACTGGGTTGCAAACTGGCTTCCTCCAATGACTCAGAATTCACCATGTCGCTTCTTCACTTCCGCATCGTTGCCTTTGCCACGAACGATCCTCCCAACTTCGGAGGAGAACACCACAAACGTACTGGACGATGCACCCGACGTCGACGTGGAGAGTTTCGTGCGAAACCCGTCGGCGGGTCGGACGGGGGTGTTCTGCTCCAGGTCTTTCCGCAGATCAGGTGATCTTGGTTGAAGACGACCCTCAGGACAGCCGGGCAGCAAACATAAACAGAAGTGCTAGGGCTAGGGGCCTCAAAGATGATGGAGATCCACAAGGTGGAGTTGGCTTTGATATCATATAAAGGCAGAAAGTGATGTAACTACAACATACTACAACATACTACAACAATGTATTTAAACGTGTTCATTATATAATCAATTTATTTAAACAGGCTCAACCCTGCCCTTGGCACAACCCCGCCATTCCAAGAGCCTTCTTTTCGGAACGAGTCGTAGTCGTTCCCGCTTAAGACATCGGCGCGGCGACCTGCTGAGCTTGCGAAGACCGGAACAAAGCTGACAGGAGATCCGAAAGGCGAAAGCTGTTTGCAGGAGACCGCAAGCTGATGTCGGGATTTTGTTTGTCGTTAGTGTCATCGTTTTGAGGCGTTTGGGGTGTGAAGGGGAAGGCTGCGGCAAGTTTGGGTGCAGCTGGGCCACTGGCCAGCAAGGTGCAATGTATGGATCGCCTTTGACCAAAAGCATCAGGGAACTCCTGTCGTGTTATGTTTGGCTCTTTGGGGGAGAAATAGGATACGACTCTTGTGCTTTCATGCCGCCATGCAAAGAATAAAACAATATGACACACACACACACAATTGTCTTTCAACTTCTATTTTGCCACTGGTGTGATTGCAGTGTAATTAGTGTTAACTACAGTATATGTTGCGCAGCTGCTTTTCATCCACCATTCATCCATCCCAAACAAAGCAGATGCGTCGGATGTGGGTTCGTGGCTTGGGCCCGGGAGCAGCGTACACTCCAGAAACTCACGTTGGAGCACGGAGCGATTCGGGTCTGTCGAGAACTGGGCCTGTCGTTCGCTTCTACGGCGTTCCTGGGTTGCAAAGGTCGCACCAGTTTTGCATACGCCCCAACAGAGAGATACAGAGAGACTCATTGATTACAAGTTGGGCTGAGTCCATTGCAGGGAATGAGTTGTGTAGAACTATAGAACCAATCAAGGGGTCAGTACTCGACTACTCGAAAAACACCAGACTTAGCTGTGGATATCCTTTGTAGCAGGTGTTCAGAACAAAAGAGGAAGCTGATCACGACCACAGGCACTCCAAAACATATTTGGCACCTTGGAAACCGTGCCCGGTTTGACTGGCGCCTTTTGGCTAGTCTGGGGAGGGAATGTCGACTGGGTAGACATCCGGTCTGAACCACGAACATATGGTGTGCAGTGAAATAGGGAGACCTCCCAGTTCAACCCCCTGAAGGACGTCCTAGATCAGTCTACCAAGCCACGGCCAGGGGGTCTCCCTATTAAAATGCACATTCATATTGCATCACTGTCAGTTGGAAGAGAAGGCACTTTCCGAAGCCGGGCGACCGGTTTATATGGGCACCCAGGGCCCAGGGCCGCTTTGAACCAGGGTCCATGGGATCGTCTTCCATTGTGGCACTGTGATCACTATTATAGGCTGGAAGACTTGGAGGTAGAATGAGCTTCTTAAGCTGTTCCCGAGTCTTCAGATTCCATGATTTTCACCTTCTTTGAACGTACCAAAGGCTGCGACTCCAAGTAGCTTGTCACTCCACGCCTCTTGAGGACTCTCCTGGTGAAGGAAGCGAGAGGGCTCACCCCGGGCCAGCTCGTGGGGAGCCCTGGGGCGTCGGAGGTACCCAACCTGCCCTGGACCTGCGAATCCAGTGGGGAGAGACTGGGGAGAGTTGGAGTGCACTGTATATATACCTGTAAACATAAACATCAGCTTTAAAACAGTCGAAGACTGTATTGCTATGAAACATGGACGTTTCGAGAAAAAGCAGACGTTGCAAGAATCATCAACTTTGTGAAAACATGTTAATCCATGTTGAACATATCATCATTCACCGATTCCCTTTAAAGACAGGATGGGCGCTCTTTTTTCTAGACATCCAGCTGCAATCCATCCGGGTGGTTCAGGTGAAAGTGCGTCGCAACCATGTATCTATACATGATCTTCTCTCCATGCTTCCTTGCTGACACTCTGCGGCTTAATCTGCTGATTTTCCCCACCAGGTCCTCTGCCATGAAAGTACTTTCTGCAATAGGGTTGACTACAGAAGCACAATCCACTTTGTATTGTTGCAAAGCCGTGTGCACAATGTGTGCAAACAAATTTACTACAGGTTTCAATGCAAACAAGCAGTAGCCAGCATCCAAAGATTTCTTTGCCAAGTTCATATAGCCGGCGATAAAGGCATGTCCAGCTGAAATCATTTGCCAGCTCTCCATATCACTCAAGAAAAACGAACCAGCAAACACCACAGACATAAAATGATGGATTGCACCACACGCTTCAAAAATCTCACCCAGAATGGTGTCATCAGGAAAATCTTGAATGTGTTTTCGGCAGATGTATTCAATGAACTTTGATACTGTGGCCGTGTCCATGTTCTTTGACCAATGCCCTTTCGGAAAAGACCGGGAGGAAGCATAACCGAGTAGGTCGAGGGAGAAGTGTCCAAAGTTGAAGCGTTCTTTCTCTTCTTTCATGAAGTTTCTCATTTCTCCATTCATGGACTCCACAGACCTTTGAATTTTGCTCTGTTTGAAAACTGTTTTGGCAATGTATATCAGCGCAGACGCTGTAAAGTCTTTGCCAACACCCGCAAAGTACACATGAAATAAGTCAGGGTGATAAAAAGCTGCAAGGTCAAGATCGTTCACTGGCACATGCTGTAGGAGTGGGCCAGGTTGATCCCACGGCAGAATGTTGCTGACGCCACATGTTGTCGTCCATTGGGCTGACAGCCTCACATCCTCAAACGGAGGTCCATTTGTTTTTCCAGCAGCACAGAGCCAGCAAACGCCGGGGAGCATTGTTCTAGCTGTTGCACTCTTGCGTACATTGCTAAAAGATCGGTTGTGGTTTCCAGCTTCCCTCAAGAACGGAGCATCACCTGTGATACCCAAAATTGCGATTTTCCAGTTCTCACCATTGCAGGACAAGCCTTCATGAAAAAGCGATCCCAATAGCTGACCCCATTGATCCAGAAGCGATTGGAAACGGCCAGGCTTTTTCTTGTAGAACTCAGCTTTCATGGCAGCAAAAAGAAAGCGGCTAGTAAATGTATTTCCACGTAGGTTCACTCCCGGTTCAAACTTGTCGCCATGATCAAAGCGACGCTTCCGGCTTTGGCCTGGAACTGGCTGTAGCTCGACAGGATTCCGGGCGGTCCCGCATCCAAAGGCACTAAACATCGACAGGATCATGATGGGGTCCTTCTTGTAGGTGCGCCCCCCATCTCCATGGAGATAGTATGGTATGAGGTGGCTGAAGTCCAGATTGGCTTCCGCAAATATGTCATGTTGTGGGCACAACCTCTTGTATTTCCCCCAAAATCTGGTTAGCTCGGTGTCAGCATAGGCAATGGGTATGCCAATGATCTTGTGCAAAAAACCTTTTGATCCCGAAGCTTCCAGCTGTTCACGAGGTGGAAAGACCGGGTATTTGAAATCATTGTCAAGCTGGAGTTGTGATATTGGAAAATCCATCACCAGTCCAGAACTCCTCAGTGCTCGGAATAAGGGTTCATCAGCGCTTGAAAGCGGTGCACGGGCTATCACCTGCAAAGTACGGCAATCATCCTTTTTGGATGCTGCTTTTGCCTCCTTCACACAATCGATGGCTGGTGCCTGGGGCGCGGCCACCAATCGCATAGGGTTGCCACGGGTCAGAATGGAAAGCATGGACACGCAAGATCTTCAAAACTAAGGATACTATATAACTGCATGGATCCTATTTTAACTCTCTCCATCATCATCAGACTATAAAGGTCTGTCTCAGCTGGGATGAGGGACGACTGAGAATCGTGAGAATGCGGGCTGCTCAACCTCTCCCAACCACCAGGCAAGCTACACCTTTGGCGTACATCTTGGCAATGTGGTGAACAGTGCTGCTCAACTGCAAGTCACCTGCGGCGAACTACCCAGTACGTATGATCCAGTATCCAAAAGTTGCTAGTCATCCGCAGGCCAGACCATGTACCTAATCTATGATTCATGACACCTGCATGAAGTATTTCCAACATGATGATGGTTGCATTGCGGTGCATTGATTGAGATGCATTTCCGCACGGCGCTATGAGCATTTTCCCCACTCAATGGATCGATCATAGTAAAGCAGCCACAGGTTCTGAGTTCGCATGTATTCTCATGCCCTCTCCCAGGCTGCATCCCCTTTAGGACATGCCATGTGCATGAACATTGCATGGCGCTAGAAACGTTCGCAGTTTGGAGCCATCTACTCATTCTTCACTTTCTTAGCCGCCTTTCTTGCCTTTGCAAGGAAATGCCTTAGGAGAATCTCAAGCACATCACCCAAGGCAAATGTGTTATGGTCATGGTGATTTTGTATGCAGTATACGATGTATATCACCGAGCTCGTCCCTTGGTCACAGACTGGGCTGCCGCTTGTGTAGTGGTGGCTTTGGACATCCTGGGCTGTATGGAATGGGGTCGAGCATCTCTGGGGGACGCGTTGGGCAAAAAAAATACATGGCGCAGCATTGTGTTTAAAACCTTCACCACCCCGGTCAAGGTTCGTTTTGGTAAGGTCTTGGAACGCAGTCTCGAGCTTCTTGTTGATCCTCAGATTTCAACAAGAAAAGCTTTATAGAAGGATTGAGACCAAGAATGCTCCACTGGAAGATCATACCATATGCAGTGTACACCTTAAAGCCAAAACTCGATTCGCTATACCCGATGGTGTCACCCTCAGCTTGCAAATCCGAAAGATATTCATAGCTCGCGTCAATCTCACTAACCAGTTTGATCAATTTGTCCCTGGTCCTGAGCATGGCGGGACAGAAGCTACATGCGGACCCTATTGCTTGATCATGCACGCTATGTCTTGACATATGCATGCGTGCATGTATATATTGCATATACATCCAAGCTGCTGTTTGCACGACACATCTGTTTCTGACAGGTCAGCCAGTTTATCAGCGATAGTGCACAGGCCGGTCTTGCTCTTAAGGGCATTCTTCAAGTACATACTCAGCCTTGCTTTGGCCTAGGAGTCCACAACTATAGTGAACATTGATCGATGTGTGAAATGAAGATCTGCAGCGCAACTATGATTTGTAGAATGGTCAAGCATGGCATGTATGTGCAACTTAGTTACCTGTAGCGATGTATCACCCTCCAAGTCCACATCACCAGGCCGTCCAAGGTCATCAAACCCACCAGCATCCATGGTGCTATCAAACATCTGCATGTCAGAACCACCAAGCTCACCCTCACCCTCATGAGACCTTGAAACACTTAAGCGTTGCAGGTCCTCCCTGGATAGGACGCCACTGGTTCGTGTGTTGACCCAGTACTCAATGACGGTCTCATCGTATTCACAAATCCTGGCATGGGCCATGCTCTTCAAACAGGCAAAACTGGTGTTAGCAGTCCATGAGATATGCAATATGGGACTAACTGGGCTGGCAATTTTCCTCTTGGGTTGGCCAAGGACGGGGCCATGATGCAAGAAATGCGGGCCCCAAATCGGTGTTCATGGCCAACCCAAGAGGAAAATTGCCAAACTGGGCTGCCCTGAGGAAGTTTGCGCCTCACCAACTTCCTCTCTGTCGCCCACTTCTTGATCTTCTCGATGCGTTCCCTTGGAGTCAGGAGCCGGCTCATGGCATGTATAAAATATGTTCATGAACCGTTGGAAATGCCTTAGCTTAATTGCATGCCAATGTTCGGGGAGCATCCAAGCTCTGTCTTCATATCTTCTTCGCTATAGAAACCTCCCTTGACCTCGATCTTCTTGCTTTTGGTCGTGGTGGACAAAAATTCAACCCGCTGTATGAAGACAGCCTGGTGCATCAAGTCAGCACATGCATGCGAAGAAAAAGTAGTGCATTACTCTTGCAAAGCAATGCTCAACAAATGACAATTGAATGAGCAAATCGAACAACAACCCCCCAAGACCTGCCTTCACACCACCAGACTTGCACCACATGCACAACAGCTTCTCCCTACCCTTGTCGGTCTGCCACAACTCAAAGATGTCTTTGGGCACTGAAAGGTTTCCAGTGGTAGGCTTTGGGGTCACCAACCTTCGAACCTTCTCCTTCTCAGCCCTGGTCATAGTAGCTATGTGTAAAATGACAGGGCTTCCCTCACCATCCCCCTCTGCAGGATGAGATGGCGCTGGAATGGGTGCGGGTGTCGCTGGACTTCCCGCAGTACCCTTGGCTGCAGCAGCATTGCCAGGAGGGGCATCAGCTGGGATATCACGAGGGGCCTTACCACCAGGAGGGGCATCAGCCGGGATTTCAGGAGAGGCCTCAGTCGAAGCGAGACCTGATGAACCCTGGACCAGCAACTTCTTCGGCTCAGCAATCTCAGCATCCCGGGCTGAGACCAGGTCCATCAGTTTTTGCCATCGGCGCTCCTGGATGACATGACACTCATGCAGTTCAAAATCATCGAACAATAAAGGATGAAGCCACATTGTGTCAATATGTTATGGGTTCCTGGTCAGAATCAACTGGCATGACTTCTGAAGGTGCGGGAGTGAAGTTCCCCAAAGGGGCTGGAGGTCCAAATGCGGCAGCATCGCTTGGAAACACTAAGCTTGAATCAGGCAGTGGACAGCGCTGGCCATCACTTACTCGATCAAGCTCTGCTTGCAGGTTGCGTGCAACTTGGCTGGAAGAACCAGGCTGGGTCGGCAAGGCAGGAACTGGTTGGTGCACAGGGCTCGGGGCTAGCAAGCGGGTCATCTTTGCTGCTGTGTTTTCCAAAACACTCACAGCTGATCTTTTGGTTTGGGCAACACTTCCAGCAGGTGGTTGGGGGGCGGTACCAACCTTTGGGACTGCTATTTGTGCCACTATCGGCCGTGCAACCCTTGCAACATGTGCTTTGGTGGGTGGGGGCGCTTTGAAAGCAGTTGGCAATGGCTTTGCACCAGCAGCCACTTCCAGTGAAGGTAATGCTGGAGATACCTGCATGCACATGCTTTCCTTCAAATCAATTTATATTAAATCTATGTGCGTTCATTCATGGAATCTGTTTTGGCTCCATGCAAATGTTAACCTAGCCTTCCTGCCAAGTGCAGCAAGTTCTTCTTCAGTAGCTGGGATGGTGGTAGCAGTGGAATTGGATCTCTGTGGGTGCACTGGGGCTACCGGACCCTTCTCCAGAGCTGCACCTCTCATCTCCGAAAGCACCTGCGTGCAGGGTTGGATGGGCAGAAGCTCCAAAATTAATCGATGAATGACAACAATTTTCAAGACCATAGATTCTGCATGAGGATTTATGGAAATCAGGTTCGAAACCAAAAATTTAAAGAGTTACAGTCGAGTGTTTCCACCTCACACAGCTTTGCCAACTGATCAGGGTCATCTGGGAGTTCCTTCTTAATGGCTTGAAGACAATCCATGTTCATATGCTGAATACCCGAAAGAAGCGTTGCAGCGCTCCAACCATTACGAAGCATGGGCTGAGGTGAAGCCATGTCGAGTCCTGCGATGGCAGCGGCTTGGCAAAATTCTACTCGAACACAACTCGAACTGACTCGAATGACCAAAATTTGTACGGAATGGTTCAAAAAAAACAGTCGCCGGCATGGAGGAAAGCAGACGTTGCATGCATAAAAGCAGATGTTTCATGGCAAAAAGCAGATGTTTCCAAAATGCTGATTTTTATCGAATCCACTCGAACCATCTCGAACCTAGCTGCATGCATGCAAGCATGATTTCAACTTGCTTCGAAGTGGCAAATTCAATATTAGATTCGAAACCTTTCGCATCCATGACCCTGGGTCCTTCGAAAACTGATGAATCGTTCAGGTGGCCACGCTTCGAACACTTGCTTGCAAACATTCTGGCACCATGCATGCGATATGGTGGCTTCAAGATTCGACCATGGTCCATGTGCAGAGTTCAAGTTCACTGTACAATGTCCTTTTCACCCCCATATGGCATATGGTCGATTTCAATTTACAAGTGCGTTGGTAAAATCCATTCCCATGCTTTGGGGATAACAAGACCACGAGCACCAATCAAATACTTCACTACTGCCCTCAGCTTTGCATCCTCCCAGGTATCGCCGAGATCTGGGGTCTCTCGCCACATGGCTTCCAAGAGCAGCTCGGCTTCAGACCTGGCGGGGGATTTGGGGGGTCATGGTTGGCCATGATCTCATTGCCAACTTCCACCATTTTCAAGGCAAACTCCTGGGTGTAGCTCCTGGGCATGGTATGCCGTTTGCATTCACTAATGCATGCATGCATGTATGGCCTGCCTACTTGGAAGATTATATTCTTGTTACTGTTGCTGATCTTTGTCAATGTATTGAACAGTCGTTGCAAACTTTGGGTGCTTCTTTTTGTGTTGCTTCCTAACCTTTTTGGTAAGCTTTCCCATCCAAAATCTGGAGATATGGCGAGAGTTGCTCCACAGAGATGTCCGCTTCGGTGAGGGTGAATTGAAAAAGAGCATCCAGAAGTTGCACCGGAAGACCTGAATTCATCGAAGAAACCGTATTCAGTTTATTGTAGCTCATGTGACATGTGACATGGTATATTGATGAAACCCATTGCGAACATCTCGGTTAAGACCCTGACCTTTGCAAGTCGACAAAGTTGCTGCATTCGTGGGTGGCGAAACATAAGGGACGATGCAGGTTACTCTATGACCCAATATCCACTGAGGGCCATCACCAAATAACAGATCAAACATGTTCGGGATGTCATCAGGTTTCCTTCAGCCACACACACCGCACGTCCTCATTTCCCAGCGGTGCAAAAAAAGACCTCAACGTCGTCCCACGGCTTATTGCAACCCAGCTGGAACACTGGATGCCGGACCACTTCACGAACCCATCCGGACTGCCACGTAGTACCGACACCAAATGAGTCCTGGACTGGGTTGATCCAAGTTTTACTATATTAATATGAGATGTCAGATTCGGATTTTATGCATGCATGCATGCATGTGCCACATAAATGGTTTGGATGTTTCATGGTGAGGGACGCAAAACCAGCAGGTGTAAGGATGTCCATTCCTCGATGGAAATCTTTGTCCAACCGTGCGCTCGGGCCAACCTTCTGTCGGATAGTCGATGTCATAGTTGATGACCCAGCATAGTGCTCAATATACATGTAGCCCTGGAATGTGATTTAATCCTATAAGCATTGTTTCCCATGCAAGCATGCATTTTGTACACATACCATGGATTGAAGTTGCACATGAGAATTGCCCCAGCCTGGTTTAGCTCCACGTTTTTGTTCCAAAGAAGTAGGAGGATGATCAAGACAAAGATCTGCACACAAGGGCCGCATGAGCCCTGGATCCAACAACTTGAGTCATGCATGCATGCCTACCACGCGTATTGAACACCATGCATGCGTGTCAGATTGTCAGATTTGGTTTGGATAACCCTTGCCTTGGGAGCACCGATCTTCATCAAGGAATAGCCGAGTCTCACAAAATGGGGGCCAGCCATCGTGGATACGTAACCCCAGCGACCCCAGTATCTACTTGATTTGCAAAAGTGCTGCCATGGAAGGTTGTGACCAAAACTTATGCATGCATGCTCCTGTTGTCCATGCTGGCTGCAAGTTGTCCAACAGATTTCGCTGGTTGGTTGAAGCCACTTGTACTGAACCAACTCAAAATGAAAAGGGATCAACCCGTTGCAAGTTGCAAGGCAAGGGGGGAACTCCAACCTCCTCGTCTGGCCAGTCGGGGAGGTGACTCGCCAGGGTGAAATCCCAAGCTGGCCAAGATTCCAGCCATGAGTACCTGGAGCGCCGGTGCGAATATGAGTTCAATAGAAAAGGCTTTTCTAAATACCCCAAACCAAGCTGAAACCTTTCCCAAAAATATAGCTATACGATGGTTTGCCAGTGGCATTTCAAAATGCACTGAGCTTTAACATGGGGCCCACTCCAAAAATCTTTCTATACCAGTTTACCCCACAACTGCGGCCAATCAATTTTCCATGGATCGGTTATTGATCCTGACCCAATCTGAGCACGAAACTGCACAAGCGGCCCAAAGGGTGACAGAGCTGCAAAAGCAATCTGAGAATAGAACCATGGTTTTCAACTTCAATGAGAACAAGTTTTTTCATGAAATCATGACTTCTGATGAACACAGTGCCCTGGCCACACCCCTCCCTACAGCTACTTGGAAGCTTCTAAGCTCTAACCCATGTAACGTATCTTCCAAAATGCCACACCATGATGAAATCAGCTCACTGCTCAGGAAGCAGCGGGCGAAGCGCTGGAGGCGAGGTACTTCTTCCCGGCTGCAGTCAGAACAGATCCTGGCCAGCAGAAAGGAGCGGCTGGCATTCGGTACCATGTTAACAGATCCACCAACAAAAGGAAGAAAAAGGTGGCAAGGTGAACTAAAGGAGTAAGATTGAGTAAGTATATATAATGGTTTTGCTGCAAGTCAAGCTCCATATCAAACCTGGAAGAATATTGGAGCTAGTTTGATCCAAAATGTTCAGTTTTGGGGCAAGTATCGGATCTTGTCATCCTTCAAGAACTCAATGGCCAAATCCTTGTTGACCACGTTGAGATCACCGCCATGTTCTTTCAACTGCTTCATGCAGAGCTGCCACCAGCTCTCCTGGAATATGACGGTGGCCATACACATTAATCATGGCCACCATGGGTAAATTCGTTCCAAACTCAGAAGAGGAGTGTGAGAATGTGTCATTGACCATTTTGAAACCCCGGGTTTCATTCACATCATACTTTGATGCTTCGGTTGATTTTGCTTAATTTGCATGCACCTCGTATACACATTTCCAACCCCCACCACCCAAACCCAAAGCTCCTTACAGAAGGCTTGAAGCTGCACATTGACTTTCACATGAGCCATTTAGGAATCCCGGATGGCAGACCACTTCTCTGGCTGACAAGATGATTGGTACCTCTTGGCAAACGTCTTCTTGGAACCATCGCCAGGCACCGGATCCTTGCTGCCATCCTCGCTTTCTGCCTTCTTACCTTTTGCCTTGGGCTTGGGTTCCACCTTCTTTTCTTCCTCCTCCTCTTCCTCATCCTCCTCCTCCGGTTCTTCCTCCTCCTCTTCCTCTTCCTCTTCCACCTCCTTGGCCTTCTTTTTGGAAGCTTTGGCCTTGGGTTTCTTTGCTGCTTTCTTGGCACGACCCTTGGCCTTGGCCTTGCCCTTGGCCTTGCCCTTCGCCTTAGCTTTGCCAGCAGGCCTTTTCTTCACTGGCACCTCCTCCTCCTCCTCCTCCTCGTCCCCCTCCTCGTCAAGCTTACGCTTACGCTGCTTCGCCTTTGCAAGCGCAAGTTGCTGCTCTCTCAACACTTGATCAGCTGCTGCATTCCCAGTGGCGCTGGCCTTCGGGTCCTGAAGGGAAACTAGGGTCTCATGCACCAAAGCTGGTGCATTTTGTTTTTGATGAACACGCTATAAACTTATTAAAACACATCATGGTTCTTTCAAAGGATTGCAATCCTGACCAGAATGTTCACCGCTCAAGAGATTCATCTCCAAGGTGCGCCCAAGCCCAACCTCCTGCGTTTCCTCCTCATCAATAGGCTTGCCTCGCATGATCACAGGCCACCATAGTTAAAAAAGCTCACAAAGGTTCTGCGTTCATGTCAGCTAGTAAATCTTAATAGTTCTTCCACGCATAGATTCAATGAATACAGATGAGGGACCCCCTTGGCCTGGACCGGTAGCAGCCCCAGATTCAGCCGCAGCAGTCGCATCCAACTTTTGGCCACTGGCACTGGAACCCTCTGCAGTCTTCCTCGGCCGTCAGCGGGCATGATCATGTGACGTGGCATGTGCATAAAGATAATCAAAGCCAGCTTGAAAAGGCTTTCTGCCAATGAAAAAACTAAAAGTGATCTGTTAATGCAAACACAGAATCGGAGCCTCAGTATGTTCGAGCTGGACTTGAGCTGCTTTGGCTTTCACTAGATTGAGCAAAACTGTCAACTGATTGATGTTTTCGGGGGCCATTGCACTTGTTGCCTCCGGTACACTGGCATCTGGCTCCGCACTGGCATCTGGCTCCACGCTTTTGGCGACAACCATCTCAACATCAGAGTCCTCACCATCACCACCTCCGGCAGCCTGTGTCAAGGGCACTTGGGATTCCTCTTGGGTGTAGCTGTCCTCAATCATGACTTGACTATCATGCTGAAAGGCATCAGCATTGCTGGGGTCTTCATTCGACATGGCGTCAGGAAGGGGTTGGAGTTCTGACAATGACCTGGTCTGCTCCTCCTCAAGCAGTGAGCTGCTGCGGGACAGGCTTGCACGGATGGAAAAATCACTGATCTTACTTGTACCATCACTCTCGGCATCCGATGGCGAGCAAACATCAGCCATGACATCAGCTTGGAAAATGAATGGACTCCGGCATTCCTTAAGTTTGATCATAGGTCAGTAATTAGGTCCGGCATGGTCGGGTTAAGTGACAAAAAGTATGTTCAAAACAACTTCGGAAACAAAGCTTTCTGAAGCACCGTAAAGTTTCATCAAAGGCTTTTTGAGAAGCCCTCGACAAGTCCAACACCAAGTCTTTAACCTTTGCATCCTAAGTTTCCAAAAAGGATGGTGGAAATTGTCCATGAGATTTCATGAGCCTAGCATGAATTAGAAAACACAAAAACGAAAACAACACAAACATCAATGGTACCCATGCAGTTCAGAAAAGGGACCCTTGGCATTTCCCATCTCTTCCACTTGAGGCGAATGTTGGTTAGCATCTTTTTGATGGCGCATGCCACACCATGGATTATGGAAATGGCGTGGGCACTGGTTGTGTCAACCCCCATCATCTCATAGAAAGCTGCCACTGGCGGTTTTATAGGTTCAAGTAGCTTGGTACATATCACCCCAGAATCAGCCATGTGGCCAGTGAAGCCTTTCAGCAAATGGTAGTTCAAGCTGATATTGGCAAGTGAAGGAGCAACCCTACCAGGATTCTCGCTCTCGAGAAGGGACTTGCCCTGGATGCCTTTGGATCGTAACTTCCGTGAAGTCTCCCACTTTCTCAAACATGGCTCCGTGTAGCGGAAGTTTTTCCTAAGTTCACTATAATCTACCTCAGCCCCCATGGTGCTAGCAGGCTTACAGCCAAAATGTCTAAGGTGTGGGAACGTGTGGTGTATTGTGGTGTTCGGTGTCCTGTCATCATTCCCCTTCCTCCATGCAGTGCCCAGCTCCAATCCCCTGACTGGGCGCACGTCCCAACACGGCCAAGCCAGCCAAGGAGTGATCGACCCATCAAGCGCCGACCAGTCAAAAGCGGTGGCATGGGTGAGCTGGGTGAGTCTATGACACGATTGGCAAACATCTTGTAAAATTCTATCATAGTCGATCAGTTGAGATATCACCGATCATTGTGAACCTTAAACTCATTTAATGCATTGATGCATGCGTTGCCGCTCCCCGATCTTTGGGCCAGCCACCTGAAACCCATCCAAGTGATTGCATGGGAATGGTCCTGATGGTTGGACCTCAGTGGGGCCAAGCGAACCGAAGGAAAGCAGTCGTTTCAAGTAGAGGCAGTCGTTCACCAAAACCACTGGTTTAATCCCATCGTTTAGATTAGCAGGTATATATATATATTTATAGGCCAGCAGCACCACCCAAAGGGTGGTTTATAGACCCCCCTGAAGAGGTATTTTCCATCTAATAACCACCCAACCTGGGTGGTGCTGGGGTATAGTATTGTATAATTGTTTTGATGTGTGCTCCATCTCTCCCCAGTCTCCCCGGACGTGCACATATGTATATGCTACGGGAGTCTTCGATGTTCTTGACATTCTTTTGAAGCCAGAAGACTCGAAGCCAGTCGATCTGCGATGTGCTTCTCACGGAACCGGCTCAACTTGTGACCCGCAGCTCCGAGCAGCACAGCTCCCGGCGACCGATCCGAAGAGAGGAACCTTCCCCATCTGTGAGACTGGGCACCAGAATCGACCGAAGTAGGAAGGTCTTGGCATGGCTCTTGGGCCACGCCATGGCGTTCAGTATGTCGGAGTGACACCAAAACAAACCAACCTGCTCCAAGATCAATGTGCCTGGATTGGACGGGTTCTTTGTGTTGATGGAACTGCTCGTAGCAACTTGGGATTGGCAGATTTGAACAGTTTTTTGTTGTTTTGTTGCTGGACAGCTTTGGGCACGAGCAGAGATGGGATAGGATGGATTGATATCACGACATATTATAGAGACAAACGTATACGTGATCCGTGTTTGGAACATCTCGGAACATGTGAAAAGGTTGCAATGTATCATGAATACATGTTCATTCAAACCAAAGTGGCTTGCCATGTTGGCAAACGGCAAACAGATTTTGAAGTGACCCGTTGGATTCATGGATAGGGTACTTTGTTTTTGCTGTCGCAGCCATGGCATCTTCAGGAAAATGTTTCAACTGAGAACTCTTGGATCGTGCTGACTTCCAAACCGAATTGCAAACAAGAGTTTGAAAGCAAAAACTAAGAAGTGCTGTATCCAGTTGTTTCTCTTCTTGCAAGACATGCCTTGACGCGTGCAAAAAGTCAAGTCTTGATGTAGTCTGTGTGTGTGCAGTGTTCCGTGCATCATGCTAGTCCATTGCACTTGCGCTGAATGTGCTGTACCCATGGGACTTTGCGTTCGGTGCTGTGCCTTTTGGCACTGCCGTGCTTTCTGTGTAATCTGCCGTGCCCATGCGGTTTAGAGGTTGTGCTGTGCCTTATTCATGCCGTGCCTTAGGGCGAGCACCCAGTAGTGTTCTTTGTGAACGTACACATACGTACACTATTTTGGGGCTAACATCCACGAGATCAACCAAACTCCTGTACCACAAATTGCAAAAGCCCGGAATCTTTCCATTCAGATAGATATATTCAGTATAGTGGTGCAAGCTGGTGGTTCAAGGTCTTGTTCCTCCATCAGTCCCCTAGCCAGTGACCCCTCCACAAAAACCCGGCGTCGGATCGTTGTATCGCTGAGGAGTTGCTGCACCGCTTCTCGCGAGGGGAAGCTCCTCCAACAGGCTCCGCTGGTTCGAAGGGGGTCCAAACACTGCGAGTTGTGGTGTGGAGGCGAGCGAGTGTGGCAGCGATTTACGCGGGGGAAGAGACCCAGATAGAACCTGGTTCTGGTTCGTAGAGGAGAATGGTCTTCCATAGGTCCATTGTGTAGCGATTTGCAGTGTTGACCAAACAATGAATCAACACACCCCCATACACCCCCAAGCCAAACGATTGCCAAACATCTCAGCGTTTGGGGAATTGTGATGAATGATCAAAGCGTCAACATTCAATTGCCACGTTTGCAGAGGCCATGGTTCATAATTAGTCGATTGTCCACAGTTGAGCAACGGTTTTGAGATACAAAGTGGATGGACTGCATAGTGGATTTTCACACTTTGTGTAAGGCGGCAGGTGGTTTCACTGTTGAGTTGTGGGTCAAAATCATCCCGTCCCTAGGGCTTTATATTGGAAGGTCAAATGTCCCACTTTTTGAGGGCCTTAAAACATGTGATGTGCTGAAGTACTTGTAACTCGAGACAATGGTTTGAAAGCATTCAGAAGTTTTATTGCTTTCACGTGTTTATATAGTATAGGTATATAGTTATGGGTATGTATAGGTCGTTTTGATTCTTGTGTGTCGTTGTTCAAATTGAAGTACCTCAAAGGCCAAAGGTTTATCAGAAGTCATCAGAAAGGATCTCAGTGTGCAAGCACCTCGACCAGGTTGCAGTACAGGTTGCTGGATTTTGTGAGCGAGGCGAGTAGACTTGGCGCAGACGAGCTGCGACCGAGAAACGATCGTAGCGGGACCTCTTGAACACATTGGAACAAGTGGTGGGGTAAAGCATGAAGACAAGAGCTGTCATCATGGTGGTACTGTGAATTAATTATAAAGTGGTGTGGTGTGTTGCCAAATATGCCCAGCAAAGTGAGTGTGTCTCGAAAACATTCCTACAAAGCAATATCAAAGCATGCTGGTTGTTTAGAACAGTCATTTTGATATTTTGGCACAAGCTGACAGACCCACTGATTAATACCCCTGGACATCATGGAAAGCGACTGCCGGGAGAACACAGAATAGACGACGTCAAATAGCATGCACCCGGATGGCATCACCTGCACGACATCACCGGATGGTTCCCGGCACAGGAAATCACGACTTCAAACAGTAGCTGGACTGGGGGTCTTACTGGTAGCTAGTCTTAGCTAGAGCGTTGCGCTGAACGTGTGCAGCTTGAATTGAGCAAGTCATGTATCCCCAGTTCTGATCTCTTTGCCGCTCAAGATGGCAATCCTTTTTTGCTGGAAACTCCGCTCCGCTTCACTCGTGGCGCCTGCGGTTTGAAACCTGCAGCTTAAGCTGCAGGGCTCCGCTGACCTGTTTGGCACGAAAGAAGAGCGGACGTGAACATGCTGGGTCTGGCATGAAACTCGTTGAAACATCAAGGTCGTCCATGAAAGAGGTGTCCCTGGGACAGGTGAAAGTGCGTCCAGCTGTGCGTTTTGCAGCTGTGCCCGCGATAGCTGTTTCAAAGGGATCTGTTCACCAATTTCATGCACTTCAGATGCAGCTTCAGTTTGCTGGGTCCCTTTGTTCATGCAACTTGTATAGTTGGTTAGGGCAGGCCTTGCTAGGGAGACAGGAGCTTACAGACCTTTAGAGTGCTTCAAGGGAAGCAACAAAGGTTACTCCCAGAGGCTCAGAGGTCCTGTGCTCATCTCAGAAACACCTACCAGGGCCCTCAGTGCCTTGAGGGTTGGGTTCCGGGCCCTACCTGCCCAGGTCTCGATCGGCGTTCGGGCCGCCGGACCGCGTTGGCCCAAACCACTGGACCGCAGCAGAAGCTGAAGATGTGAAGATCAAGTTCATTCTCCCAGACCTCGGATGGAGGACTTTTGGATGGACTTTCGTGTCCAGACTCTTAAGCCAGGATCTCAAGCCCAGTCACTACTCACCATCTCACAGCCACGGCGCCCAGTCCGGTGGCCATGTATATTAGCCCAGTCGAGCAATACCCCCCCTCCTCCCACTTCACGAGCGAGGCGAGCTCGCGTCGATGGCGCCATGCCGTGGTTTCAGGAACCTCACCTGATCTTCTCGAGCTGCTTCGGCTGAGATGTCAGCTATAGCGAAGATGAACGCGAGGGCGATGTCTTGGGGGATTTCTCGGGCGCCTCCTATGTCCTATTCCGAGCTTATCGGACTCAGTCGCTGCTCCCACCTCTGATGTTAGACTTTGGTGATTAAGGTGGAACATTCGATACCACAATAACTAATGTGGACCATGCTGATCAAATTGAGCAACCTCTATACGGAGATGTAAAGCCACTCTGGTAGGTTTTTGTGTTAATCAACAG